TGTAGTCTGCAGCAGGACTACTTGAAAGATCACGAGGGAGGCAGTGGGCGGCTGCGCTGATGGCAGAAGCAGCTGCTGCCACACAGCAGGGAAGCACAGAGAGGCTGAAATTTATATTCTCCCAAAATATGTGTTGAAGCCCTAACCCTAATGTGACCAACCATTCTTGGGGATAGGATTTAAAGAGGCAATTAAGGTTAAATGAAGTCATGAAAGTGGGGTCCTAATCCAGCATGACTGGAATCCTTATGAGACAGACACCAGGCATGCACAGGCACAGAGGAAAGGCCATCTGAGGCCCCAGGGAGAAGGGGGTCATATGCCAGCACAGAAGAGAGGCCTCGGAGACACCAAGTTTGCCAACGTCTTGATCTTGGACTTCCAGCCTCCAAACCGTGAGGAAAGAAATTTAAGTCCCTAGTCTCTGGTATTTTGTTATGCCAGCCCTACAAAAAAGTATACTTAGCAATTGGTGGACGCCATTTACTATCTGCATAGAGCTGGAAAGCAGCACGTAGAGTTGCCACTCAGCTGCTGACTACACATGATGGCAGAATGAGCAGAGACAGAGATTTGGGTGTTATGAATAGAAGTGGATCCATAGCGGGACACCTGGGTGGCTTGGCAGTTGAGCGGCTGCCTTTGGCTTGGGTCGTGATCCCAGGATCCTGGAGCTGAGTCCCACGTCAGGCTTTCCGCGGGGGGCCTGCTTCTCCCTCTGCCTGTGTCTCTGCCTCTCTGTGTCTCTCATGGATAGATAAAAATCTTTTAAAAAAAAAAAAAGGTGGAACCATGGGAATGAATCACAGAACCTATGAAGAATGTTTTAGAAATAAAAGAGGTCACCATGGAACCCTACCAAATGCCTACAACTAAGACTCTAAAGGAAGAGATGCCCCTGAAGAAATTTTAGAAGCAGGGGAACACAAGGCAAATCTAGAGATTGGTGCCATGAAAACTTAAAGAACATTTAAGTGGGAGCAATAGTGCCAACTGTAACATAGAGATGAAAGCAGACAGGGGAGCCTGGGTGACACAGGTTAAGCATTGGATGGACTCTTGATCTCTGCTCAGGTCACGATCTCAGGGTCATGAGATTGAGCCCCACATTGAACTCTATGCTCAATGCAAAGTCGGCTTGAGATTCTCTCTCCCTCCCTAAAATAAATAAATCTTAAAAAAAAAAAAAAAAAGAAAAGATAGACACGATTAGGGAGTTGGTGCCTTCTCCTTGACAAGAAAATCAGCAGGTGGTTATCAGGAGTCATGCAGCAAACAATTTAGGTGTGAGGAAGGAAGTAGAAACAGAAAGGGTAGACAACTCTAGAGACTGCTAAAAAAAAAGTGGTGGTTCAGAACATCAGGTTCAGGGAAAGTCTCTTAAAGTATACAATTTCTAGTCACATGCAGCTTCAGAGGAGAGGCGACAGAGGCCGAACTCTGGGGACAGAAGAGGCAGATCGACATGGCACAGGTGACAAATTACTCACCTGGAAGGAGGGATGTCTTTTCCACTGTAACAGGAACAAAGCCATTAAGGCTGGAAGCGGATTTCATAGGTGGAGAGAACCTAATGCTCTTTTCACTATGAAGCAGGAAAATTCAGTCATGCACTGAGTGAAGGATGGAGCAAACTACTTTTAAAGAATGGTGAAACTAGACTGGCTGCAGGCAGTGAGCATGCACTGCCTCATGACAGACGATGGGATGGCCCAACAGCTCTGAAGACCCAGTTATGTATAGAGACAACAGACATGTTGTAGTGGCACCACCCTGCAGCCATGGGACTTCTCCAGCAGCAATATGAAGTGCTATAGGAGTTCCTTTTCTCTTTAGATTTTCCTTGTGTTTCTCTGCCCATTCTAAAATGTCTTTAGGGGCAAGGGTCACCAGACTGGCTCAGTCAGTAGAGCACAGAACTCTTGATCTCAGAGTGAGGGGTTCAAGATCCACATTGGGCACAGAGCCTACTTGATAAATTTTTTTAAAAAGTAGAATCATGGAGTGCCTGACTGGCTCGGTCAGTTGAGTGTCTAACTCTTGGTGTCATGATTTCATTGCAGTGGGATCAAGCCCCATATTGATTCCAAGCTCAGCGGGGAGTCTGCTTAGGATCCTCTCCTCCCCCACCCCCGCCCATCCCGCTGTTGTTCACACACTCTCTCTAAATAAACAGATCATTAAATATAAATAAAAATAAAATTTCTTCAGGAGCATCTCTCTTCTTAGCATCCAGCTGGGAGGTGTTTGCCAGGGTTCTACTGTGACCTTCCTATTTTACTTATATATGGTCTCCATACATTCTATGATTCCACTCCCATGGTTCCACCCACTTCCTGCAACTTGAAAATGTAGAAAGGTAAGTAACTAGATGAATCCATACTGGGGTCTGGCTCGGGAAAAGCAATGTAAGAACAGGCATAAATGACCCCAAGAAGAGTTAAGACTGTACCCTTATCTTTCCTTTCTCCATCACTTACTTCCTTGTGGGTTTTAACTTTAAGAACCAACAGTTCTCATCCCAAAAAGACCGAACATTCCCTTTTTATAATGAACACTTAGTTACCACGCACCTTTACTGTCCTGAGGTCAAGTCACAGATAACCTGCCTAACAGACATAAGTTTTAAAAGATCCATTTAATGTCCTCAAGGTAATGTTATGGAGACACAAAGTGAAATTTATAATAAAAATTAGATTTCAATTTGTAAATCTTAAGCCTAACTACAAGAAAAGACTTAATGAAGCAATCAGATGCTCATGGCTATATACAAATCCTCAAGAAGAAACAGGTATAATCACAGAATGGTCAAATTATGCTATACTTGAAACTCAAATATGTATATGAAAGCCTTCAGGTCCAGTAAAAATCAACTGCTGCATTTCAAAAAGTGTTTGAAGTCTCAGGCTGTTAGAATAATGACTCTAATTATAAAAACTAGAACGTGATTTGGTTTCCAGCAACCCATCAGACAGAGAAAATGCAAATATGTAGTATGTCACAAGCTATTAATCATTTTAAGAGTCTTTGGTCACCACTCCATTTTCTATAACTCAAAAGTATGGGGTAAGGGGGAAATCCTACCATTAGCAATGGTCATCTCAGATTTGGAACACAAGAACAGCCTATACTGGAGGTTTTGACTACCTCCCTAATACTACCCATGTAGGAACCAGAATGCCTCTCATTTGGACAGACATAAAGACCAGAGGACTTCAGAAAGCAAACGACTTAAAGAAGGTGGCTAGAGGCACTGCTACCAAGCTAATTCTGTTTAATGCTGCTGTGTGTCCATACTAAGATGTTGCCCTATTAATGATACCTCTTCTGAACACTAAATAAAACACCTATGCATATTTCAGACCTAAGCCCAGCCATGAGAGCATGGCAGATGGGGAACCCAACAGAGCAATGAATATCCCAGCTATTCCCACAATTCCTGGAGCCCCATCCCCATCCTCCCTGCTTCATCACAAAGTGGTTCAGTGGGTTTGAGAAGCAGAGGCTGTGGTGTGTTGGGTGTCAGCTAAAAGCAAGATGAGTCCTCAGAGGAAGGAGCAGGTAAAAGGATGCCAAAGGTCTATCTGGGGAGCAGACTAATTATAGTATGTACTGCTTAAGCAAGCACTTAGGGAGCCGACTCTGTAACACAAGGAAGATGACAGGATATATGAGCTGGGAGATCTAGGAGTCTGTGTGCCACTTACCATCAGGGTACTCTGAGTCTCTAAGTCCCCTTTCCTCACATGTAAAGTGAAGAGGACTGTAGTAATACTTACCCTTACCAGCCTGAGGAGATTGTTTGAGTGGATGGGATTCAATGGCTTATTATACATGAAGACACTTTACACAGCACTTCACAAAGGTGTTCTTAGCACTCCCATTACTATTCTAAGGAAGCAAGCAACGGAGCTATAAAGAAAATGAACCTAGAGGCCCTTAGGGCCCTGGGACAGTCAGACAAGTGGTCACACACTTCACACAAGTCAAGCTACACTCCCTAGTCTGCTCCCCAGTGAGAAAGATAAGGATAAAAGACCACTTGTCAAGAATGAGAGTGCCTGTTTGGGGTCTAAAAAAGAATAGCTGTAAAAACTGACAAAGCGGGGATCCCTAGGTGGCGCAGTGGTTTGGCGCCTGCCTTTGGCCCAGGGCGCGATCCTGGAGACCCGGGATCGAATCCCATATCGGGCTCCCGGTGCATGGAGCCTGCTTCTCCCTCTGCCTATGTCTCTGCCTCTCTCTCTTTCTCTCTCTGTGACTATCATAAATAAATAAAAATTAAAAAAAAAATTAAAAAAAATAAAAGTTTAAAAAAAAAAAAAAACTGACAAAGCTGGGAGGTGTTCTTGAGAAACAGTGTTTCCAAAAATTTCCTCAAAGTGTGTTCCACTAGATAGCATCAAGAAGAATTTGGTGGTGAAATCAGTGTGGGAATAGGCTTCCTTAGGCCTTTCCTGAGATCTTAAAAATAAATTTTCAATGAGGATGTGGGATGTAGGATGTGTGAAATTTATTTAACAACAGAACCCCTTTCCCACAGAGCATCTATCAAGGGGTTTCATGAAACATACTTTGGGAATTAAACTCTCCAGTTGGACAAAAGGTTATACAGGCACACGGATCAGGCAAAAAGGGAAACAATACTTTGTTGACATTCAATCAACAGTCAACACCTGCTGGACAGTTTGGAAAAAGGAGAAACCCATTTTTTAACCATGGTACTGAAACACCTGAACCACCCTGAACCACCCTAATCCCCGACCCTAAAGATCCACCAGTTGTGCAACCCCGCACTCCACAGTCACATACATTAAATCTATACTTTTATTTTTTGTTCTAAAATGTGCTTTTGTCTCTCATCGAACTTTAATACCAGTCCAGGACCTCCACCTCCCCTTTAAAAAAAAACAACACACGCACACAAGCACACACGCCACCCTCCAACCAGGTGAAAATTCCCCGGCGATTAGTCTGTAACAAATATTGACACAAAGGGGAAAAAAAGCATGTTGAAATGTATTAGAATCAGAACCTGTACAAAAAAAAAAATTAAAATATAACCTGAAACTGTTCAAGTTCAGAAAGGCTAGTCAAGTCCTTTTCTCTTGCCAGGAGAATGCCATCATCGGTGGGCTCTGGGTCATCAGCCAAGGAGGGGTGGAAAAAGAGACAGAAGCAGCAGCAGGTCCTTCACCAGACAGAGGGCCCCCGGCACTACCATCCCCAGCTCAGCCATCGCCGGGAGGAATAAAAGATCTTGGGAGAGCAGGTGTCAGCAGACAGTCCTGGGCAGCAGCTGGGGTCTTCACAATGAAAACCAGTCTGCGTAGTCAGGGGGCAGCAGGAAGCGTGGCCAGCAAAGAACACCGAACGGGAAGAAACTTCTGCCACCTAGCAGACCCACAGCAACCTCCACTGGTGCTCAGGTACCAGAGGTTAGTCAACCCAGTGCTCCCAACTAATGAGAGATTAGAGCTGGGCTTAAGAGGCTGAAAACCCGCAGGTTTAGTAAACATAACCCAGCATCACATCCCTCCATGGCCTGATCGGAGCTGCCAACAAGGGATAAGGCAGGAGAGGGGAAAAAAAGCATTTGATACCTGGCTAGAGATCACCTGCACCAGTGTGGGTACTGTGGTACACGGGGCTGGAGAAGGCATACCCTCCTCCTCACTCAGAGAGGAGCCTCCTCTGTAGTCATCCCTGTGGGCTGGCTAAAGCTGCCTCCGGCTTATGACCAGCCTGACAAAATGACACGGAGCAAAAGAAAAACTGGGAGGGAGACAAGCCCTTAAACAAAGACAAGAACCTCCTGGAAGGAAGCTGGGCAGTGTCTGACCCTGTTGGGATGGCATCAGTGGAGCCCCTGAGTCTGAAGGAACAACTGGGGGGAAGAGGGAGCAGGTGAGGAAAAGATGAACGGTTCTTCTGGAACAGTACCAACAGGGTGGGAGGCGCTGGTGAGGGGATGGGCAGGTCTGGAACTCACTGAAGGTAGAGAAGGGAGGAAATAGGCCCTCGGTGTCCCCTCCCCACCTGACCCAGGCCTGGTGAGTGCCAGCTGCCCCAGCCGGCCCTAGTGGCGGCTGGAGACCAGACCTTTCACTTTGGACATCTTCTTGGTGGGCTGCCTCTGCTCGGCATGAGGGGGACACTCCCGTTCAGCCAACTGTTGCTCCATCTCCTGAGCCGAGGAGGAGGCGGTGGCTTTGAGTGTCTTCTTAATGTTGGTAACCTGAAGGGAGACACAGAATTAGTGTGCTCAGCCTGTAAGTGCCAGAAACTCATTGACTCTTGTTCTCACTGTATTGGGGGCCACCCAGGGAAGAAACCAGAATCCTCTACAAGAAAATCGGAGATTATCTTCAGAAACCCAGATGAAGAGAAGCAAGAAGGGGGTACTCGTAGAAGACACATGGAAATGAGTCAAGCAAAAAATGGAACTAATGCTTGCTTGGTTGAAAAGAGGGAATAAGGCAATGGAAGTGGGACCACCTGGCAGAGAGGTACAACACAGCAGGTGAAAGAAAGCACTGGTTCAAATGGCCTTAGAAACAAAAAGGGAGGGATCCCTGGGTGGTGCAGCGGTTTGGCGCCTGCCTTTGGCCCAGGGCGCAATCCTGGAGACCCGGGATCGAATCCCACATCGGGCTCCCAGTGCATGGAGCCTGCTTCTCCCTCTGTGTCTCTGCCCCTCTCTCTCTCTCTCTCTCTCTGTGTGTGACTATCATAAATTTAAAAAAAAGAAAAGAAACAAAAAGGGAGCCCTAAGAATGCTATAGTCAGTTAACTACATTCATGTATTGAAACTAAAAATATTTTCACAGGAACTCTGGCAATACAGCTCCATGAGCCTTCTTGAATAAACAGCTAGCGGATGAATTTCAGCCAACCAAGTATCAAGTGACAAAAACATAGTAAAAGGACTGGCAAAACATAATTACACCAATTTTCAATATATGTTTCTTTACTTAACAAAGGAGGGCTCAAAACGACTGAAGCAACTTCTGAACATTTTCCACATCAGAACATGTATCCTTGGTATCCTCTGTGTACCGTTATTATGAATACTCTACAATTTTTAAATTAGTCCATTTGCTTTTCACTTATGTACAGTGCTGCTATGAACAGTCTTCTATGTTCACCTGTTCCTACTTTTGTGAACAGCTCTGGAAGACATATTACTAGAAATGAGCTTTCCAGATCAAAGGGTTGGCACATTTTTACATTTTAACAACTATTGCTATCTTGCCTTTTGAAAAGAGATGACACCACCTTCTACTTCTACCAACCGTGCCCTCCTGTGCTTGTTTACATACACATTCCCCAGCACCAGTTCTAAAAGATCTTTAATGCTTTTGCCCCTCAGTCAGCTGAAAGGAAGAAAAAGGGGAGGAAAAGCATTCAAAGGAATAGGAGGTAAAGGTGCTTCCCCAGCTTGATGATCCCCGTGTTCTCTGGGAAGCAGGCTTGGTTTTCTATAAAGAAAGGAGGGAGTTGTCAGGGTCAAAAGTTCTCAGCAGTCAGAAAACCAGGAGCCTGAGTAAGAGGCAGTCCCAACACAAAGAAGAAATAATGCTATGACTGATGCCAATGCCAGGCTCCTGAAAGAGATTTATAATTTGCAGAATGAGCCTTGACTAGATTAAAGCTCATCTTTTGTTTTTTGTTGTCGTTTTGCAACATGGGAACAGCCATGCCCTAAACTGCTGTCACCTCAATTAACACCACAACCTTTCTGAAAGGAGTGTCAAGAGAGGATTGTGAGCTGGACAGTAAATACAGAGGGCATCCTAAGTCAAGTGTGGCTTCATCCAGTGTCTTGCCTGTCCCAGACATGCCATCTCCAGACACCAGGATGGCTCAGTCGGTTGAACATCTGCCTCCTGGAATCCAGCCCTGAGTCACTGGGCTCCCTGCTCAGTGGGTAATCTGCTTCTCCCTCTCTCTCTGCCCCTCCCCCTGTTCATGCTTATGCTCATGTCCACTTTCTCTCTCCCAAATAATTTTTTTAAAAGATCTTAAAAAAAAAAAAAGATATGCTATCTCAAATCTCAGGCACCCCATCTCTAGGGACTCACTGCTGCTTTCGTATCTCTTATTCAAGAGTTACTTGGGGATACAGTGAGAGAAGAATCTGAAGCAAATGGATGGCTTGCTGCCTTCTCATATAAAAGAGGTATATTTGGGGACGCCTGGGTGGCTCAGTGGTTGAGTGTCTGCCTTTGGCTTGGGGCATAATCTTGGAGTCCCGAGATCAAGTCCCACATCAGACTCCCTGCATGGAGCCTGCTTCTCCCTCTGCCTGTGTCTCTGCCTCTCTCTCTCTCTCTCACTCTGTGTCTCTCTTAAATTAAATTAAATTAAATATAAAATAAAAAAATAAAATAAAATAAAATGAGGTATTTGGTTTTAGTTTATTTCAAGGCATATCTTGGCCACCCAGGCAGGTCCACCAAATACACCTGTTTTGGCCACGTAGAACAATTGTGACAAGTCTACTTCTTTCACAGAGCCACTCTTCAAATGGTGACATATATCCCCACAGACTTGTCTTCCTTGGCCTAAATGTCCCTGGCCTCCTCTAATTTTCTTGAGTGGCTAGCTTGCAGGTCATCCATATCTCATTACCCCAAATGACCCAGAGTTTGTCAAGTCCTTCAAACCATGGGCCTCAGTAACTTTCAAATGGGACTGTACCTGCTAACAAGACTGCAGCCTAACTCCATCAGAGACCTTAAATATTCAGACAAAAGGAGTGTGAAGAGCCTCCAGGGGAAGACCATTTTTGGATATGCAGCAAAGGTGGACAAGAGGAAGGAGAGTCACAGCTAGAAAGGTCAAAGATGAATGAGGAGAGCTGAGAGGTGGGGAGAATGACCCTTTAGGATGAAGCAGATGCCAGACCACAAGATCTGTCACTAACTTAACTCCTGGAATTCTCTACAGAATGGAAAACAACTTCTTTTGCCCAATTATGGTTTGTTATCTACATGCCTGGAACATGGCCTATTTTGTGAATATATATATATGGCAAGAGCCATATACTGACATTCTGCAGAACTTGACACAAGCACATTCAAATATAAAGAAAATACACTCCAAAATCAAATATAAGTGAGAAGGTATTTTGTGATGCTTCGACTAATCATGACCTCCTCTCCAGAGTGCTTGCTCAGAGACAATGAAATAGCTCATAATGTTATTGTTCCTATACTGGAATTGTAACTAATATGCGTTATTTCTGTGAGAAGCTAAAAGGAGAGAGAATATTCTCAAGCAGTTTATGATAGGACTGACTTTATTAAGGGGAAGGCCCTGGAAGCTAATATTCACCAAAAGAATGCTGTTATAAGATTTTGGGGTTAAAAACAAAACAAAACAAACACATTTTTTCCCTCCTAGGACAAGCAATCTAATTTAAGGACAAATAAAAGATCAACTTAGTTGAGAAAATGGCTAAAAAAGTTGGGTTAAGAGTAACAGAAGCATAAATACAAGCAGAACAGGACAGAATTACACCTTTGTTCTTGGTAGATTTGTTTTCTTTTTAAGTCAACCAACAGCCTTCCATGCGCCAGATGCTGGGGAACAATCAGCATCCTACACTTAGTATCCAGATTACAGGTTTACTGAATGGAAAAGGGATAAGGCTCTGGATTTTTACCATGCTGTCTCTTCAAATTATTACCGCCACCTGGTGACAGCATCAGACTCTGCCAGCAGAGTAACCACAGCTGTAGTTTTCCAACAGTTGGCCTCTGATAACAAATCCATGTGCACTGGCTCTCTCTTTTTCAATAACCATAATTTAAAGAGCCCATACTGTTCTCTAAGTATTGGTCATTCCTCAACATCAGTCAGCATCTTCTTTTATCAGATGCCATTTGTTATGCAAGTAAACTTGAGCCGTTCAAAATTCTGAAATTAGTATCATTCATTTTTTGCTAGTGAGCAATTCAAACCCACCACCTACCACACAATTAGCAACAGTCTGGGCACAGTGGTGCCACCAGCAGTGATCAGGCTCCTCTTGGGCTACCAACCATGTTAAACTGTTACACTGGCTACCCCAGGTCAGTGGGCGCATTTCACCTCCAAACTTCAATTGTATCCAGGGTTAAAAAAAAAAAAAAAAAATTGTATCCAGGGTTTAATTTATAAGTAAGAATCAATGATAGGAGAGAGTGGTTAGACACTTCCTACTTTGCTTAGACATCAATCCCAGATCAAAGAGGCCACCATACTCAACAGGGAGGATTACAGAGCTTATTAGAGAAAGCAGCAGGCTTACCATCCTAATTGAATTTGTTGGCTAATGCTAATGTAGTTCAGACTTCTTTGGCTAGAAGTAGGGTTAAAAATTAAACAATGCACGGAACATTCACAGACTCCATATATACATATATTATGTAGGGGCGTGTGTGTGTATCCAAAATAAATATGTTCTAGTTCATGAGAAGTAGAGTTCAGCAATCCACAGACACACAGAGCATACCAGAAATATTCAGGACAACAAATAATTTGAGCACCTACTGTGGGTTAGGCATGTGACAAGGAGCTAGTCTTTTAAAGAAAGACAAGACAGATTTTATTATCAAGGAGTACATATAACAGAGTAAGGGAAACCTTCAAATTCTACAAATTCCCCTTTATTTTTTTAAATTTATTTTTTATTGGTGTTCAATTTGCCAACATATAGAATAAGACCCAGTGCTCATCAAGTGCCCCCCTCAGTGCCCGTCATCCAGTCACCCCCCCCCGCCCACCTCCCTTTCTACCACCTCTTGTTCGTTTCCAGAGTTAGGAGTCCCTCATGTTCTGTCTCCCTTTCTGATATTTCCCACTCATTTTTTCTCCTTTCCCCTTTATTCCCTTTCACTATTTTTTATATTCCCCAAATGAATGAGACCATATAATGTTTGTCCTTCTCTGATTGACTTATTCAAATTCTCCTTTAAAAGGCACATCTACTTATTTATGTTTCTGGGTCCCCTTCTGCCATACTCTTGGACACATGACTTACAAAACTCATCAAATACCATGTACACTTCAAGTTCCATCACACTAGAAAAGGACTTCCGATGCTAAACTTTTTATCTTATGGGCTCCAAATTCTGAAGTCGCTTCACAAGTGTCCAGGTCACAGGCACACAAGCTCCCATTAACTGAAGGCTAGAGCCTGTGTTCCTGAGAGGCTAAAAGTGTCCAAACAACCAGGTGTCACTACAACCACAATCACACGCATCTTCACTTGCATTTCATCTGCCAAATGTTTCCCCTTCCTTTTTCAACATGAAATCTATCATGCATGTTCAAAGGTTGCAACATACATATATAGCTTAGAGAATAAAATGCAGACTGTGCACCCACCACACAGCTTCAGATACAGAGCAGAACTAGGGCTTTGATGACCCAAGTGCCCTCCCTCTGCTCCTGCCCCCGCCTCACCCCTCCACCCCAATGCTAACCACCATCCTTTCATTTTCTTTAAGACCCACTCCCTTCTGCTCTACAGCTGCAAAGTACACAAGTACTGTAGAATGACAACATTTTCCACTCTCAAGCCTGCTCACCCTCCAGTGACCAGGAACCAGAAAGAAGACAGCATCAAAAGCAGCGACCATCCTCATCTGTAGCCCACTAGCCCACTGCCTATTTGCTGGTGACTGTTGCACCTACACCAAGAACCACAAGAGGAAGGAGCAAACATGGATACCCTGGAGCAGGTAACAGACATTCTCTTCCTTACCTCTGCCTCTACCTGCTGCTGAGTTCGGCTGTGGTTCTCCTTGTACTGGTTGGCTCGCAGAACTTGCTGCTCGATGCCTAGCAGAACCGCTTCGCAGCCATCGCACCTACAAAGGAGGTAACCAGCCCTGAGCCACAGAAAGGCCTGGGGCTCTCCTCCAGCCTCCCAAACCTCCATCCCCAACCCGATAGGGACTTCCTTTAACACCGTGTCTGCCAAGGAAGGCTCTTGCCCTACACTCCTTCCAAGACCAGTTTCTGGATATATAACACAGAGCACCTGGAGATAAACAAGAGGATGTGGGATGGTTTCCTAGAACACAGCTTGAACGTCAACCTTTGTATCCCATGGGAAAGGTTTACAGAATGTGCCACTAAGGAATTTGGACAGTCCTTACAGGTAGCACGGATTCACCACTTTTCTCAACAGAAAAAAATGATTTTCTAAAGATTGCCCCTTTTCTCAGAAGCCTGTTACTTTTGGGGCACTTGGGTGGCTCAGTCGGTCAGTTAAGCTTCTGGCTCTTGATTTAGGCTCAGGTCATTATCTGAGGTCATGGGATTGAGCCCCACATCAAGCTCCACATTCAGTGTAGAGTCTGTTTGTCCCTATCTCTCTTCTCCTCCCCCTGCTCCTCTCATTGCTCATACTCTAAAATAAATGAATAAAATGTTAAAAAAAAAAAAAGTTTGTTATTCCCTAATTGCCATCCCCCTCATTATTTCATTTCTCCACTTAATTTCAAAATGTTAAAACCTAAAAAAAAGTTGAAAGAATAGTACTACGAATACGCATTTACCCTCTATCTTAAAGTCAGTAACTGCAAACATTCTGCTGTATTTGGAGTACTGCTCTACCTAACAATTCTATTTCAAATCTAACTCCAGTGACTCCACAAAAGCTTTAAGAATCTGTACTAGTAAACACTCTGGGATGGGGTTAGGATGGCACCTCTGGGTGGAAACACAGTGAAGCCACACTCTGGGCATGAAAACAGCATCAGTCATCTCAAAGATGGAGTAAGGCGGCTGATGAAGTAGGACTTGAAACCTAGATTTGTGTGCCAGGGAACTTTCACGGGAGGGGGTGTTTTCTAAGTTTATTTCCTATTTATTCTGACTGAACACTTTTACAATCTTTTGAAAGTTCCTGCCTGTGTCAGATGTTATAAAGGGAAGGTGTCTGGGGCCATACTTGAGACAGAACCTGGGGTAAGGGGTGGACAGCACATGCCCTGGGAATAGTAGCTGAAGTGAAGGAAGCTCCGAGGGGTTTGGACAGGGGGTCAGGGAATCAAAGCTGGGCCATTCATTCCTGGAATGTTTCAGTCTGTTTTAAAGAAAACAATTTCTCTACTCCTCTGGACAAAGCTTGCTCACCCTGCTTCAATGATTTCCAACACCACCATGTGCCTGCCTGGGGACATGCTCTCTTCACCTCCAACTATACCTGCTCTAACCTTGCCCTCCTTCAAAACTCAGCAAAACCCTCTTCAACTAGGCCTATCTGGCTTTGTAAGCTCCAAATCATTTTCATAACTCCATAACAAATCCTTGTAGAATGTCCAAAGCTCTTGCAATCATCAAATCACCATTAAAACAGAGAACATGCAAATATCCCACTTCTTTTTATATTCCAGAATATGGTTATCAAATAGTCTGTGACTGTGCTTCAAATCAGAATAACCCATTCCTTGTCTTTACTATCCCTCACAATGTTTTACCAACACTAGCCCAATGTTATTGACTCAGCTGAATGTGGGTTCTCAAATCCACAGAATCTGATCAACACTAACTTCCTGAGCTTAGTCAAACTTGGAAGCTGACTTTGCAAAGCACTGGATCCGTGTCACACTGCTAGGCTTCAGCTTTAGAGGCTGTAGCTGCTGCTATTAAATAGTCCCCTCCCCACCACCAGGAAGAGAATAATTTTACAACCAAGGCCCTGGGAGACCTGCAGGGATTCCTGCTGCCATACAGCTCTGGTCACAAATGCAGCCCCACTCCCTAGCATACTGTCCTAAGGCTCCAGCTCCCAAGCAGCCCCAGCTGATACCAGGAGACAATATTTCCCCAAGCGGAGGCACAAAGGGCATATGTCCCCCTACCTAACAAGAGAGGACCCCTCCTTGTTTCAGCCTCACCATTCATGCAAGGTCTTGACAATATTATTGATATCCTTCTTTCGGATGTCACGGCCAATGCAGAAATCCACCTCCAGCAGCTGGTTTCGCTGGTCTAGCTTCCCCTGGATGATATCAGTATAGACAGCCTCAATGATGAGGTCTTCCAGTTCCCGGAGATTCCGCATCTCCAGGTCCTTCAGCAGTACAGAGTAGGGGATACACTGCAGATAAAACCATGTGATATTTACAAAAAAAACTGATGAGCACTAAAGAAAATGCAGGTGTACACCTGTCTCAGGGTTTGGGAAATGTAGTCTGGTGAGCTGGGAGACCTATGGAATCCAAACAAGACCCACAGCACCCAGGAATGCATTCTCCTAGATTCTCTACCTCCTGGACTTCATCCAGCCTTTAGCTTTCATGTGATGAAGCACTCTTAGGAAGCGTCCCAGAGGAGAAAGGGAAATACTCGGTGTCTGCCACTCTGCCACCTTCTGGAAGCTTGCAGACTTGACATAAAATGCCAGATCATCACAAAACTCCAATTTCAGACACTGGAGAGAACTGGCTGCCGCCCAGAAGAGTACAAGCAAAAAAGTTTGCAGGTTAACATATCCACCCATAGGTGGCCAGTGGGTACTGCCAGCTTAGAGGTCATCCTGAAGTTTGTATCTGTTTTCTCAGACTCTTGCAATCAATATCAATTCCCCAACAATAGTCCCTTGTTGAGCTACATACCAACACTTTGCATTTATCCAAGAAAACTGTATATCTAAATATCCAGTTTTCTAGACATATCACTACTATTTTGGAAGCTAACAAAGCAATCTAATCTCAAAAACAGACAAGAGGAAGAGGTATACAAATAAAAGAGTAACAGCAAACATACCTAGAGGGGTTTTCTATGACTGAAGGTCTGAAACCAAGGGATGTAGATGGGCTTATAATGACAGGTTGCAAAAATTTTTTTAAAGTTACTCCTACTTTTTGCTGCACTTGGGGAAGTCCATCAGGCCAAAATAAGGGGTGGGAGGCCATTTCCTAAGAAAATAGGCCTCCCACCCAAATTGCCAGGCTGAGAATCACAAATTTGTTATTAGACCAAGGAAAATGATCTGAGCAACTGAAATGGCAATGCAATAACAAATCTATATCTCTCAAGCTCAATTACAAAGGGTTTCGAAATGCAAAGAGCAGACCCCTTCCAGTGACAAAGCCCCACAAAAACTTAGTTATGCCAGGATTAGGTGGAGAGCCAAAATCAACTGTAAATTAACCAAATCTGGATCTTCTTTGTTAATGGCTATGAGAAGCTGGCTGCAAGGCCTCTTGTAAACTGAGTAGGGCAGAGAACTCAGAGATATGATGGAGTGGTTATCTTACAGAAAGTTAGGATCTAAAGTAGCATATAGGGCAAAAATTCTGATTAGGATAATTAAGCTTGATAATTTCCAGAAAAAAAGCAGCATATTAAAAATCTAGCTCAGTAAGTCCAACATAGCAAAAGTCTTTCCCCCAGCACTGGTACAGTTCACTGTGCAATGAGCAACAGATGAAGTGGTTAACTTGCCTTAAGATGTCCCCCTGTTTGAAAAACTATGAATCTTCAAACAGCAGCCTCCCTTTGGTACGGCAAAATGCTCAAACCAAGTGAGTCACTGTAGCATGCCAGAGCTGAGACCTGCTGATTCACGAGGCATACTTTTCCTGAATGAAATACAAATACTTGTCTACACTATTTTAATTGTTACCTTCATCTCTTTTGTCCTTTGCCAAGAAAATTTTATGCATTCATGATATGACTACCGTCCGTAAATGGGAGCTCCTGCACTGATACCAGTGTGACACCTGCCTAAGGGTGAGGAGCAAGAGAGGAAAAAGTTCGGCACTGTACCTTCATTCTTGACGCCAAGCTCACGATGGTAAGGTGTTTCAGCTTGTTCTGCTGAGCTGTGCTCAGTTCTGGCAGGCTCTCCTTGTTGGCTGCTCAGTCCCACCCACCAAAAAAAATCAAGACACAAATAAAATTAGAATTTCTTTATGGAATAAGCTCACCATCTCCCCACACCAAATCTACCATTGATTCACTGTCATGACTCTGCACTTATATTCATGAAATGAATGTTCTATCAGCACCCCCTGTCTTCTCTGGAAGACTATGTACTCCTGAAAAGCCAGGCATGAACGCACAAAATGATAGGACAATCATCTTAATGGAATACTATGTGTGCCCTATGTGACATTCAACCTTAGTCAGCATGTCTTCACTAGGAATCTGTTATGTGCAATGCCCCGTCTTAAGTGATTCAGAAGAGTCAAGGAGGGATAAGATGGCCTTGCTGGGGCTGCTACGCTATACAACCCCAGGGATAACAGCCACCAGGACTTGTGCAACTCCAGGGCCTTGGACTGGTTCTCGGTCTTACAATCAGTTATTTCAACAGCTATAGGTATAAGACAAGAACCACCAGAAAAAAAGGCACAAACTACCAGAAGAGAGTAAGAGGCTGAGGAGGAGGGGGGAGGCAGGAGGGAAAAGGAAAGAAACAGAGAAAGGGAGAGAGCAAGTGAGCACAATCACCTTGCGAGGGACAGGAAAGAAAAAGAAAGGTGGAGTTTGAGATGAGCCTTGAAGAACAGGCAAAATTCTAATAACAGTAATGATAACAACAGCAATGGCTGAAGCTGCAGGGCCCATGTACACACACATCCAGTCAGTCCTCACAACATTCACAAGATAGATTCCAAATGTCTTCAACTCCTTATCCATAATCCTGGATTCCAAAAAGGTGAATCTAAACTGATTTTCTTTTTTTATTTTTATTTTTTTTTAATTTTTATTTATTTATGATAGTCACAGAGAGAGAGAGAGAGAGAGAGAGAGAGAGAGAGGCAGAGACATAGGCAGAGGGAGAAGCAGGCTCCATGCACCGGGAGCCCGACGTGGGATTCGATCCCGGGTCTCCAGGATCACGCCCTGGGCCAAAGGCAGGTGCTAAACCGCTGCGCCACCCAGGGATCCCTAAACTGATTTTCTTGAGCATGCTGCTGAAATTCATCTGGTGGCAATTCCTGACCTCAGCTGAAGCAGGCTTTTAATCCCACTTGTTGTAAATCTTCGTTTGTTTAGCTGCAAGACTGTGGATGTATTTTTACTACAGGTACTGCCCACATCTTGGAGGTGTTACATAAAAAGGTATATGCATCATATCACCTCTTTAGAGTCCCCAAAATTCTAATTTCTGAAACATCTAGCCCAAGGAGTGCAGGTAAAGGACTGCAGACCTCTATTATTACTCCCATTTACAGATTAGGAAACTGAGGTACAGAAGATTATTTAATTTGCCAGAGGACAGACACATAATCAGTGAAGTGGAACTAGAATATAATTCAGGCAGTCTGGTTCCAGGGTCTGTACAATGTTGTCCCTTTAGTGAGGATGGAAACAGAAGACACACTGGAACAAAGTGAAGGTCAGAAAAAACTGGCACGTGGCAAATCATCCAGGATGACACAGCACAGGGGAAGTAGAAGTGACCAGGAGTAAAGAAAGGGAAAAAGAAGTCTGGGATATAGTAGGGAAGGCCTTGAGTCATACCATTAAAATAAACTACCAGGCTCTGTCATACAAAAACTAGGGAAGCCAAACAAAAATGGCTTGAGTGGAAGGTAAGTTAGTGTTTAGTAACCTCATCCCGGACACTTAAGATCCTAATATAAAATGACTCAAATGATCGGAGCCCCTGGCTGGCTCAGTCAGTGGAGCATTCAATGCTTGATCTCGGGGTTATGAGTTTGAGCTGCATGCTTGGTGTGGAGAAGGAAGGAAGGTGGGAAGGAAGGAGGGAGGGAAAGAAGGAAAGGTAGGTTCAAATGACTTACAAAAGAGAATGGGCTAAATATGTCGTATTAGAGTACAGAAAGTTAAAAATGACTACAAAGATGTAAAATATGAGGACGCCTGGGTGGCTCAGTGGTTGAGCGTCTGCCTTCAACTCAGGGCATATTCCTGGAGTCCCAGGATCGAGTCCCGCATAGGGCTCCCCACAATAAGCCTGCTTCTCCCTCTGCCTATGCCTTAGCCTCTCTGTCTCTCTCACAAAAAAATAAAATCTTTAAAAATAAAAACATGTAGAGCATGGATGTCTATGAAATAAGTGAAAACAGATACAATATTATGTACATAACTGAATGACACCTACATAATAGAAAGCACAAGGGAGAAAAGTCCAGCACCATAATGCTAACTGCAGTTTAAGGCTGATATAAAACTATGAATGACTTTGAGTCCGATTTTCTAAATTGTCTTCAATATAATGATATTATTCTAATAATATTTAGGACACTTAAGTACTTTACAAGTGGGTATTCTGACACTTCACAACATTTCAAGTATTCTACAAACACTAGTCCTCAAGAATCTCATCTGGAAAATAAATAAGGAGTATATTTACACATGAGCATAAACACAGTCCTCCTTTTACCCACAGAGAAATAAAAGATGAGAAGGTAAAAGCCTCATGCGAGGTCACCTACAGTAAAAGTGCAAAACAGCCAGGTCAGAAAGCTCCCATCCCATGCTTTATATGCCAGACCTCAGTGATCCTCATGGAGGCAACATGTCCAAATAGAATGACATAATTAAGAAAAGTCTTTGGAAGACCTTAACCGACTCACCTATGTAATCTGGATATGTCCCATAGGCGAACAGGTTCAGCAACTGCAAATATGCAGCATTAGCTCCTTCTGCAAGCTGAAGGGGGGGAAAAAACAGTTCACAGATCAAGCTGTCTACTAATCACTGCAGTGTTTAAGCAAAGGGTGATAATCATGTGCTACAGTTGACTGTTTTTACTAGATGGTCCCCGAGGTCCCCTCCAATTCTGATTCTCTGGGAAAAAAATAAATAAGATTTATTTAATTTTAAATTTAATTTTTCTCTCTCAGGAATACCTGTTTTACACTCCACATAGTGTAAAATAGCATGCCTAAGCAACTGCTTTTGTCACACACACCCACAAAGCAGTAAGTATTGGGAGCAGTACAGGTTTTCTTAGGAGTTCCTTGCCACTAAGACAAAGACTAGAGACCTGGGTGGCTAGGCCAGTTAAGCATCTGACTCTTGATTTTTGCTCAGGTCATGATCTCAGAGCATCCTGAGATTAAGCCCCACATTGGACTCCATGGTCAGTGAGGAGTCTGCTTAAGGATTCTCTCTCCCTCTGCCCCCCCCCACAAAATAAATAAATCTTAAAAAAAAAAGCAAACCAAACCAAAACAAAGACTAGAACAGCCTTTTAAAAAAATTCTTTTTCATTTGTTTGAGACAGAGAGAGAACACAAGCAGGGAGGAGAGTCAGAAGGAGAGGGAGAAGCAAACTCTCCACTGAGCAGGGAACCGATGTGCTCCATTCTAGGACCCTGAGATCATGACCTGAGCCAAAGGCAGACGCTTAACCAACTGAGCCACCCAGGCGCCCCAAAAGATTTATTTCTTTGAGAGAGATAGCAAATTAGAGAGAGAGAGAGAATGAGAGAGAGGTAGTCAGTCCTCGAGCAGGGGGAGAGGGAAAGGCAGACTCCCCACTGAGCAGGAAGACAGATGCAGGGCTCAATCCATGACCCTGGAATCATGACTTCAGCCAAACATAGACGTTTAACCAACTGAGCCACCCAGGCACCCCTAGAGCAGCCCTGTCGACACATCAGGTTGGAGTGTACAACATGAGCGACTATCAATCCAAACTGAATAAAGTGTAGGGTAGATTCCAGGTTTCAGGACTACATGAATAGTATGAATGCTGAGAGAGATTAGAATAGCATAAAGTGTAACAGAAGAGCCCAGGTGGGAGAGGAAAGCACAATATCAGGCAGTTCCAAATAAAAATGTTCATTAAAATTACTTATTCTTTTTAAAAAAATGTACTTGGGATGCCTGGGTGGCTCAATGATTGGTCATCTCCCTTTGGCTCAGGGCGTGATCTCACAGTCCCGGGACTGAGTCCCACATCGAGGTCCCCACATGGTTCCCACTTCTCCTTCTGCCTACATCTCTGCCTGTCTCTCTGTATCTCTCATGAATAAATAGATAAGATATTAAAAAAATGTATTTATTCCTCACTAATGTGGATGGCAAAGAGACATCTGTAGAAGCAAAACAAAAAGAGATATTGCTCTGCCTGGAATTGCTCTGCTCTACTGTCAATTAACTGGGTGTTTCTTTTACTCACAAGTATATATTGGACACAAACAGTAATACTACTTAATTTAAACTATCTTTTTAAAAAAGTTTCCAAGGAGCACCTGGGTGGCTCAGTCGGTTATGCATCTGACTCCTGATTTCAGTTCAGATTGTGAGATCGAGCCCCACACCAAGTTCCACATTGGACGTGGAGCCTGCTTAAGATTCTTTCCCTCTCCCTCTGCCCCCCCCCACTTGCTCTCTAAAATAAATGAATGAATCTTAAAAAAAAAAAAATTTTTTTTTTCCAAAAACTACATCTATCATTTCAGACCACTGAAAAGCAACTAAGATTCCCAGCTCACATGTGAAAAAAAAACAAACCTGGGGAGATAGAGATAATTTGCTCAGCACCCTCACAAGAACTCTGGCTTCCTAATAACGCAGTCTACCTTCTCAGGTTATCAACAACCTCTTGAGATCTAAAACAGACAAGGAAGAGACCATCAAATCTAGCCCCTACTTTCAGACAATTATAAAACTAATCCTAAAAGACTATTTTCTCTAGAGCAGATGCTCCAAAACTTCTCCCACTAGCCTAAATCAGTGTCTTTCTCATTTTAATTTTCATTCATCTCCTCTCAGCCAATCTTCCATAATTATGAGACAACCACTTGGCATATTCATTCAGGCTTTTCATGAACCTGAAGGAACATATTACCCCTTTGTCATCTCTTCTGTTGAAAAAATGATGAGCTATCAAGCCATAAAAAAGACATGGAGGGAATTTAATGCATATCACTAAAAGAAGCCAATCTGAAATGGCTATATACTGTATGATTCCAACTATATGACATTCTAAAAAAGTCAAAACAAGGAAGAGGGTAGAAAGATCAAAGGTTGCCAGGGACTGAGAAGTGGAGGGACAAATAGGTGGAACACAGAGGATTTTTAGGGCAGTGAAATTACTCTGTATGATACTGTAATGGTAGACACATGTCATTGTACATTTATCCACATCCACAGAATGTACAACACCAAGAATGAAACCTAATGTAAATTATAGTCTGGATGATAATGATGTCAGTGTAGGTTCCAAACTGGTAGGGGTTATTGGTAAAGGAAGAGGCATGTATGAGGGCAGAGATATCCTGGAAATCTCTATACTTTCCTCTCAATTTTGTCGTGAACCTAAAACAGCTCTAAAAAAATAAAGTCTAGCACCTGGGTGACTCAGCGGTTGAGCGTCTGCCTCCGGCACAGAGCGTGATCCCGAGGTTCAGGGATAGAGTCCTGAGTCCCACATTGGGCTCCCTATGGGGAGCCTGCTTCTCCCTCTGTCTATGTTCTGCCTCTCTCTCTCATGAATAAATAAATACAATCTTTCTAAAAAATAAATAAATAAAGCCTAGGGGTGCCTGGGTGGCTCAGGTCATGATCCCAGAGTCCTGAGACTGAGCCCCATGCTGGGCTCCCTGCTCAGCAAGGAGCCTGCTTCTCCCTCTCTCTCTCTCTCTCTCTCTCTGCCTGCTATTCTCCCTGCTTGTGTTCTCTTGCTCTCTCACTCTCTGTCAAATAAAATCTCAAAAAAAAATTTTTTTAATAATGTCTATTAAAAAAATAAACCTACTTTAAAAAAATTTTCCTTATAGGATTTCTTTTAGATCTCTGATAAATTACATTTTTACTAAAAGCCTACTGTGTATCAGACTACATATTAAGCGCTGAGGAAACAATGGGGAGCACAACAGACCTACCCTTCCGAGCTTACAGTCCAACAACCTAGGCTGACATTAAATAAAAATTCATGGAGTGCCTGGATGGCTCAGTTGGTTAAGAGTCAGACTCTTAATTTCAGCTCAAGTCATGATCTCAGGGTTGTGAGACTGAGCCCCACATCAGGCTCCATACTGCGCGTGAAGCCTGCTTAAGATTCTCTCTCTCTCCCCAACCTCTTAAAAAAAAAACTTCACAATTAAAACATAAAAGTGGCTTTTTCTGTCTCCATCTGTAACAGGAAGACAAGATGATGCCAGGTTCATACATCAGCAATGGAGGGTCATGGAGAACTGCTCCAGGTTCCTCATCAAGAGAAATAAGATGTGCAGGAGCGAAGTCCCATAATCCAAAGGTTCACATCTCTGCCATGAGGGGTTAATTCACCACAAGACTGTGGACACAGAGCCAGTAACTGATGGCAAAGGTGTCCTAACAGTCATAAAGCACAGAACCAGGCAGCAAAAGCCAGCCACTTCCTATATGTGGACCACCATCGACATGAATGCCCAGGCCACCTTCTGCCACATGGCATACACAATCCACGAGAACAAGCACCACAGTGATCTGTGCATGGAGTCCACCCCCAGAGCTAGTGCCATCCTGGGCAGCCAAAGAGAAGTTGTGATGGTAAAGAGGAAGCTGACCCACCCTCCAAGAGCTTCTGAGCACAACCCCCAATGTAATAAAGCTGTTCCTAGATTTTTCAATCAATCAATATAAAAGTATCAATAGATAAATGTAAAAGTATCCAAAGTGAGAAGCAGAAATTGAAAAGTAGAGGTTGCTTTACAACTCTGTTTTACCTAATCATTCTTCACCAATCTTCTCACGTTTAAGGCACAACAATCACAACTAAATACCCAGTTTCAATAACAATAAAAAACAGAAGCAAAGTAAAAAAGGACTACTTCCCAGCTTTTCCTCGTATTTTTTACACATCCACTTAGCATAACATTGCCATTTTCAACAAGACAATATATTCCTTCTTCATGCCCAGCTCATGTTCAATAGCAACCATTTTCTGCTTCATATATACCTGACCAATCTTTTTGTCTCTATGTGCATTGGAGGTTTTTTGGTCCTTGCAAATGCCTGAAACTACTCCTGTTAAATATCAGCAATGCTTATACTCTACTTCTTATTTATCAAGTTCAAGTGGATTTGTCCCCTACCTTTCAAATTATTGGCAACCCAATCCAATTTACCCCAAGTTGAGATGAAAATATTGACAAGAAAGAGCCCAAAACATCATCCTTACTCTCTTTCCCTCTTCCCCCACAATTCCCATCCCTCCCTCAACAGTGCCCCTCCACAGGTCCACAATGCTTCAGCACTGAAATTCCCTGGGAACCTGGATAATCACAGGAAAGTTTAGAACAAAGACAGAGAAATTGGAAACTGCTCTTACCTCCTGCACATTGGCCAGCTCCAGCAGTTCTCCAAAGACATATACTCCAGGAGCTTCCAAGACTTGGCTTATGAGAGCAGTGAGGGCTGAGCCACTGGTACCTTTGGCTAGTAAAATAAACTGTTCCAGGAGGTTACTTGAGGGTTTCTGTTCACCTGCCATTCTCTGGCCTTGAGATCTGTCCAAAAAAATAAGTGTTTCAGCCATTCTTCCTTCTCCTTTGCAAACTCTATGCTTAGTTAATGCCATATCAGAAATCAGAATACTTTAATCTTAATAGTATTCAAAAAAGCACAACAGTCCAGATGCTACAACCTCTTTGTGAGATGGGTAGGGTTCCACCTGGTGTTAAAGGGATTGTGTCCTTGCTCAGAGGTTTGAAACACACTTAGGAAAAACCATTTCATTCATCCCCATGTGGCTGTCTCCCAACCACAGCACCCTCTAAGCCCTTAAATCTGACAAGACCCAAAGAAACACAGAGGAGTTTCTCAGTTACTGTTTTAGATCTACTTCACTTATAGATTCTATTTAAGAAGGAGAGAATTTTGCCCATACACAGAGGCTGCAGATGTAAGCAAAAGCGATCAGTCACAGCTTATGGTGTGTTATTAGAACCCCACCTATAGCCAGATATAGAGAAGGAAAACCACAAAAAGCATACAGGAAAGATGTCTCATTGAATCAAAGATGTCATATGAGCCTAGAAAAAGGGGGAAAATCATGCTGAATGATAAGCAACATAATCAAACTAAGAAAATACATGCTGAAAAAAAAAAAAAGAAAATACATGCTGTGTAAGTCCATGAGGAAAATCCCTCTATTTGACCTCCTGCTGCTTATGTGATTTTTACCAAACATGACTTTAGAATTTGTACAAAATCTCAAAAAAATAACAAAAAGATTTGAGAAAATGAAGATGTTGTATTGCCATCCTGAAGACATTAAGGGGAGGGTGGTCCCTCAATTTTATAATCCAATTTCATGCTGAGTGTACCCCAACACACACACTGCATACCTACTCTGCAGGACTCCGGTATGAGAAAAGACTACTCTACCAAGAACGACACATTTTGGGACAGTGCGACAAAAAGAAGAGGTAAAATAAAGTGAGGAAGAGAACAATTCAAAGTATAGTTTGGTGTAAGAGAATCCGAGTTTTCCTGTGGAGGCAGACAGAGCAGCAGTCCTTTCACAGTGGGAGAAAAACAAGCACGGAGCCTCACTTAGGGTTACATAAGAATGTCTTGTCGTAAACAGAAAAAAGTGAAGCGCTAGGGAATAAAGTTGCTGAGGAGGGAAAGGGAAAGGGGAGAGAGACGGGGGTAGGGTGGGAAAAGGCGGGAGAGAGGTGATGGAACGAAAAGCTCCCTTCCCAGCGGACACGTGTGGAGACTGAATGGAAGGGCCTGGGGTGGAGAGGGAGCAGAGAAATGGACAGAAACTTCGGTCCCTCAAAAAAAATCTCGGCCTGAGGCGCAAAGCCTGCAGGGGCAAAAGGGTAAGGAGGCGTTGAAATTCGCTTTTTTCTGAAGTGGGAGGGCCGGAGGCGGCGGCTAGGGACACAGGGGAGGTGAATTCGCGTCGTGCGGGGGCGCTATTCTGAGGCACAGCAGAGGGGCAAAGAGGCAGCTTGTGGGGGTGGGGAAGCGAGAACCGCCTCGGTAGAGGGACCGAGGGTTGCAGGCTTGGGTGGACTTCAGGGCGGGCGGCGTGCTCCAGGGAGGGCCGCGGGTGCGGAGTGAGGGGCCGCGGGGCGCGCTCCCCGGGGCGGGGCCGGAGCCGTGTGGCCGCGGGTTTTCCAGGGGGCCTGGCGCCAAGCCAGACGGCTGGGGCGAGCCTGTCGCGCCGGGCCCCGCCCTTTCGCCGACCCCTACCTGCCCTCACCTCCTCTCCGTCCTCTCGGTCGCTGGCTCGGCCTCCCGGCGCCTGTCCGCAGGTTGTCAAGCGTCCATGATCGGCCCGGCGTCCGACGCTTTTCTGCCTCCGCCGACCCGTGGCCCTTGCGGCTCCCCCGGAAGCCTCCCGCCGCTGCACTCGAGTTCCGCCCACACTAGGTTCCCCCTACGGCGTTGGCAGCCTCAGACCTCCGGTGCGGCCTGGGCCTGGGGGAGACCTCCGAGGTCGAAGCCCGGGAACCGGGTGGAGAGGAGCCTGAGGAGGCGAATGCAATCCAGGCAGTGCTGGGGCCTGGCCATCAACATCACCCTGCAGCGCCCGAAATTCACCCCTTCGGCCAAGCTTTACCCCTCAGGAGCTGCCTACGGCGGCTGCGGCTCCCCCGGATGCAAAGACATAATAAGTGTAATAACGACCGCTTATTGAGCGTTTTCCCATGTGCCAGGCGTGTACATTGTCTCGTTGAATAAACTCTAAGCTTAAAAATCCAAAAACCAGTAAGTGGCAAAGTCGGCTTGGGACCCCGGGCTCTGGGAAGCCAAAGATCATATTCGTGATCTCTGTTCAGAAAAACGTTTTAAAATAAGATGGAAAAAATAAAAATAATAAAATAAAATAAAATAAGCAAGATGGGCAGCCCGGGTGGCTCAGCGGTTTAGCGCCGCCTTCAACCCAGGGCCTGATCCTGGAGACCAGGGACCGAGTCTCATGTCAGGCTCCCTGCATGGAGCCTGCTTCTCCCTCTGCTTGTGTCTGCCGTGTGTGTGTGTGTCTCATGAATAAATAAAATCTTTTAAAAAAGTAAAAAATAAAATAAGCAAGAGATGGGCTGAGCCAACAATGGCTCTGTGAGCAAAATGACATATGTGAGGTTGCATCTAGTACTTAGCAACTCTCCTGGAAGATGGCTAAGGAATGCTACACAGCTGAACACTTAAGCTGGTTCCTTTAAAGTACACATCACAGACTTTCCGGTCTTAAAGACAAGGAAAAGAGCCCTATTTGCCTTTGGTGAATTAGAGTGCAGAAATCAGACAGATGCAAAGGAGCCTAGCACCAACCCACTGATTTATGCAAAAATGTCTTGTTCTAATTTCTATGTTCTGGTACATTATATAAAGAGAAGACAAGGTTCTTGCCCTCAAAAAGCTTCAGTGTGGGGGTGCCTGGCTGGGTCAGTTGGTAGAGCATGCAACTCTCAATCACCAGACCTGAGTTCAAACCCCATGCTGCGCAAGAAGCTTACTTTAAAAAGGAGAAAAAAAGAAGAAGAAGAAGAAGAAGAAGAAGAAGAAGAAGAAGAAGAAAAGAAAAGCTTCAATATGTTAAGTGCTATGAGAAAGATATGACAATACTTTAGAAGCATAGAAGAGAGTATGTTGGGGAAAAGAAAACAGGCATCTTCCAGGCAAAAAGGGAAGAAAAGGTGGCCGACCATAGTCACAGAGGCTTGCCCTGTGTAGCATATACTAATGCAGAAAAGAAACCCAGAGTGTCTGGAATACAAGGCTCAGGTTTGAGAAATGAGGGCTACAGACCTGGAGTCAGGTCATCAAGGGTGTTATAAACCACATGCATGGCACTATACCCAGTAAATATCTTAATACTGCAAAGTCCCTACCTGGGATAGCCCACAGCCCTGGAGAGAGACAAACCTGTCTGGCTGTAACAGCCAGTTGCCATAGGCACCCTAGAACTACAGATTAAGGCTCTTCTCCTGCCTATGCTCTGGAGAAAGGTGATTTAAAGCAGGGTTCTGGAAATGAGGCTTGAGTTGAACATGGTAGAATGAGCAAGCAAATCACAAAAAGTATAAGCCATGTAAAGGAGTTATTATTTTATCTTAAGGGTGCTGGGGGGGGGGCAGAACTTAGGGCTTTTAACCTGTGGAGAAGTGTGAATAATTGCCACTTTAGAATGCTCACACTAGCTGCTATAAGAATGGATTGGATATGGAGAGAGCTGGAAGCAGGGAAACTCTTGAGGTGATTGATATAGTACAGAAAGATTGTGAGATCCTGAACAAAGACAGTGGCAGTTGGGCTTGAAACAGAAGGGACATGGTGGGAGGCATTTAGACTTTGGAATGTGTCCGATGTGCTGACCAGCTGAATGCAGGGATAGGGAAGAAGGGTATCACCCAAGACTCTGGCTATTCACTCAGAGGTGATGTTAAGTAAATGGGGCTGCAGAGGAAAAAAAGCAAATTTGCGGTAGTAGGAAGATAATTAAGTTCTGTTTGAGTTCATAAATATTCTAGCAGTACTTCCACTTCTTCCAGAATAATGTTCAGACTCCAGGGCTGCAGAGAAATCCCTTCTCAGTATGCTTCCCTCCAACCTTTCCAGCTTTGGCTCGTCCCACCCTCTTACAGCCAAAACCCCAGGCCTTCCTATGCCCAACACAACTTCCACCTTCCCTCTCTAACACCGGGGCCTATGCTCAAGCTTGCTCTCCGTCCTTTTTTGCAATGCTCTTCCCTCCTATTTTTGCCTGTTAAAATCCTACCAACCCTGTAGGCAGAGATTTCTTAAACTCAATGCAAAAAACCACTAATCATAAAAGAAAACACTGAACTACTACACTACATTATAATTTAGAATTTCTGATTATCAAATGACACCAATACAAGACTGAAGAGGCAAGCCACAGAGCTAGAAAAGATATTCATGATGACTGTATCAAAGAACTCCATATCCAAACTTCATAAAGAACTACAAATCAGAAAGAATAAGTAGACAAAAAGCCCAATTTAAAAAGTAGGGGAAAAAAAATAAAAAGTAGGGAAAAGACTTGAACAAGCACTTTACAAAAGAAAACATTGAAATAATTAAAAAGCATATGAAAAGGTGCTCAACATCAGAGACAATGTAAGAAAAGACTGTAAGAATATACCACATTCATAGCCAAAAGAGCTAAAGTTAGAAAGACCTCTAAGACCCTGGTTGTTGTTTTTTTTAAGATTTTATTTATTTATTCATGAGAGACAGAGAGAAAGAGAGGCAGAGACAGGCAGAAGGAGAAGCAGGCTTCATGCAGGGAGCCCAATGTGGGACTCTATCCCGGGACTCCAGGATCATGCCCTGGGCTGAAGGCAGTGCTAAACTGCTGAACCACCCCGGCTGCCCAAAGAACCTGTTTTGACAAGGATAAGAGTCAACTAGAATTTTCTTACATTGCAGGTGAAAGGGAAAATTATACAAATACTTTGGAAAACTGACATACTGTTGCTGATCATACGCATACTGTACAAGCCAGCCATTCCTCTCCTAGAAATAAGTGCAGTCTACAAAAAGAAACCTCTAAGAATGCGCATTGCAGCTTTAACAAAAGCCAAAAACTGTTAACTGATAACATAAATACCCATCAATAGAATAGATAAATATTGCTAGATACACACAATGGAATACTAGTCAGTAATTAAAAAAAAAAAAAGCTACTGCTACATACAACATGGATGAATCTCACAAAAAAAAAAAAAAAAACACAACTGATGAAGAAAAAAAGCCAGGCTCCTACTGTACATACTGTATGATTACATTTAAATGAAATTCACAACAAAACTGATTTATGGTAATAGAAGTCAGAATAGTTATCGGGATGGGGGGATGCAGTGCTGATTGGGAAGGGGCACAAGGGTGCCAGAAATGTTCTATATTTTGATTTGGGGGGTGGTGACACAGATGTATACATATGTAAAAACTGTGCCCTTCCTGCATGTCATACCTCATGAACAAAAAAAAATTTTAAATAAAGTTTTTTTAACAGGAAAAAAAAATCCACCCATCGTTCAAATTCAAATGCCACATCCTCCATCAAGTTTTGCCAGCTGGATCTGATCTTTCCATCAGAACCTCTGTGGCATTCTGATGACCTTTCCTTTATGACATTTATTGCAGTTCATCTTGAATCTCAGCAGAGTCTCCTTTTTTTCCTAACTAGATGGTTATCTTCCTGGAGGCAGTGACAATGCCTTTTCACCCTTTACCGGAAACCTGAAAAGGCTCTTTGTTGAATTACATGGAAGGAAAAATTGGGTGGGTGCCCAGATGGGTGAAAGAGGGACGGGAAGAGGAAGGAAGGCCTCGGAAAAGAGACAGGAGATGTCCAAAGAAACCTTAGCTTACGCTACAATTTTACCTAGTTCCTGAAATCACATTAAATGTCACCTTGAGCAACAAATAACAAATCAAAACACTAAGTCCTTCCTAGACTGAAGATAAACAAACATCACACTCCTTCACTTACAGGAAATCCACCAAAATGAATGCTTACCTAACCTCTGGGTGTTTCAACCTGGATGGGGATACTTCACTAAGGAAAATAATAATCACACAGCCATGCTGCTAAAAATATCGCCGCCTCAGTGTGGTGTAAACAGCCCAAACTGAGGGTCAGGAGACTTAGAGCCGAATTCTAACTCTGTCCCAAGTTGCTGTAACCAGTGGACGATCGCTTCGCCTCTCTGGGGCCTCAGTTTCCTCGTATGTAAAACAACAGAGGGTGGTTTGGCAAATTCTCTTAATATCCCTTCCGGTAGGGAGAGTCTGAGTATACGATCCATATCGCTCCCAGCCCAACGCAGGAGCACACCAGAAACCCCTGCAAAACAAGTAAAAGGCGCCCCAGACCAACAAACAAGCACGATTTAAAGGAGTCATTTTCTCTTCCGTGGTTTAATCAAGTGTTTTTGTTTGTTGTTTGCAGCCTTACCATGATTTGCAGGAGATTTCTGAGTTCCATGTAAACAGATGTTACCTCTCTGTGGGCTGTCATCCTCTTCTGAGAGTTAAGGGGGTCCTCCCGCCCAGTTTCAAGTCTCCGAATTCAGAAACCCCCAAAGCTGAGGGAAGGTTTACGAATTTGCGCACACTGCGCGGCACACTGGAGTCTAAGTTACAGAGGAACAGGGTGCAGGGAATGCTGGGATTTGTAGTCCCCGGGCCTCTTTGTTTCGTGATGGGATCTGTGGTCCCCCGGGCACTCCTCTGGAATGCTGGGAAATGTAGTCTCTCTCACATCGCACAGTGCAACCCGCCGTCATTTCAGCGCCCTAGTGTGCCCCGCGGAGGGAGCGGGCCCCTCGAGCCTCTGCAGATCTGAAGCCAACCCTCCGCTGGGGCAAACTCTAGGCAACAAGACCTGAAGAAAAATTTGTCCTACGGGACTTCCCGGGGAGGGCCCTTCCCACTGACGCTCGTCGTCCCCCGGCGAAGCCGCTGAATGTTTCTATTGGCTGCTCGGGATGCCAATCGGCGAGGAGGGCTTTCCATTGGCTTTGGGGCGGGCGCTCCGAGGCTAGGGGGAAGGAGAAGGGATCAGGAGCGGGAGCTGAGGGGAGGGAGAGGCCGGTCCGGGTCTGGCCGCTGCCGCTGCTCGCCCGAGGTCTCCAGGCCGCGCTGCGGCTCCGTCCTCGGTTCCTGGGCACCGTCTGCGAGGCTCCGCCGGGCCAGCGTGGGAGAGCCGCGGGCGGCGGCCGCCGCATCATGTCAGCCAAGGACGAGAGGGCCAGGGAGATCCTGAAGGGCTTCAAACTGTATCCGCCCGGGAGTGGGGCGGGGCGGGGCCGGGAGGACTCGGGGGGCGGCCGCTCGCGGAGGAGACGGGCCGGGGGCGGGGGCCGCGCCTGCTGGGCTCGGGACGGGAGCGCGGCGGGAGGGGACGGAGGGGACCGAGGGGACGGCGTCCCGGTCCCCCCGGCGGGACCGGGTGCTGGAGGCGGGGCAGGGGGCGTCCTGAGGGAGGAAGGAGACGTTGCCGGGAGCCGGGGGCTGGAGTGGAGGAGCCCCTCACCGAATTGGGCTGGGAGACGCGGCGGGCGTCGGAAACGCGTGGCGGTGAGGCCGGCTTGGGTCCGAGCCTCGGCCCGCGCCCAGAGGCCAGAAGGGGGGCTGCGGCCCGCAGGGAGGGCCGAGGGGCGCGGGGGGCTGGCCTCGCAGCCCTGCAGCCCGTTTGGCGGGAAGGCCCCGGGGAGCAGGGAAAAGTGACTCGAAGCGAGTGACCTTGGGTGGGACAAATGCAAATGCTTGTGCTGAACTCTCCCGGGTTTCCCCCGTCCCCCCCCCCCCTCCACGCCACCCCCTCCTTGTTTCCACAACTTCTCTGCCTCACTTGTGGCTCCTTCCAGGGCTGGAGCAGAGAGGAAGGTGGGCCAAGAGAAGCCCGGGATCCACCTCATCTTAACACTCTCTTGGCCTTGTGAGGCACTGGATGGTGGCAGCTTCTCTCTCAGCCTTTCACTTTTCTGTCCAGCGAAGTGAGGACCCTGCACTCGAGCGTGAGATGCCTTGAGGAGTTTTGGTTTTGCCCCGGGACTCCTGGCAAAGGTATCTGCGCGCTCGCGTTTGTGAGGTTCACGCGGAGACCAGGTGGAGCTGTCCAGCAATTATTTGATTACTTTGGGGACACGGTAGGATTTAGCAGGATCTAGAAATCATTGCCCCAGGCCTGGCCTGTTGTGGTGCCGCTTGTGCAGCCTTCTTTCTCTCTTTAACATATTAGGAAGCCTCGTGTTTAAATGGAGTGTGGGTCTGTGACCATAGGATGCGGATGAAAAATAGGCAAACCTGGACATTCCAGTTTCACATTTTCCTGCTGAGCTTAAATCTCTTTTTACATCCCGTGCGTACAAAATGGAACATTCTCAAATTTTTCTCTCAGTGAAGTTGTGGTCATCACTTTAGGTCTCCCCAACCCGAAGGAGATTTAGTGAAGCACTGTTCTCTGAGCTGCCCGTGTGTTTTCACGATGCCCATTTCACCGCTGGAAATTTTAATTGCTTTTCACAGTCAGAAAGCAAGTTGGTAGTAAATTTTATAACCCAAAATGCAACAACAACAACAAAAAAGTTACAGGACATTTTAGATATACAAATGAAAGTTTCAAATGGAAGCTGATCTGCTCTGCTTCTTTTGAAAAAAAAACGGAAGGCATTATACACTAGGCATAAGGTCATTCGTGGTAAAGTTTAGTAACAACCTCTTTTTATAGCTTCGTGTACCTTTCGGTGTCTTTTTTCATAATGGCACCTATAAGTAAATAGGGATGGCTGAAGTCTTAGAAAAGCTGTGACATGGATTTTATTTTTCCCCTAAGTAATTTGTATTGTTAGTTACATGTATACTGTAGATAGTAAAATCGGAGACTGGGGAATTGAGAGATTTCAGAAGCAACGTTTTTGGTCCAATTGGAATTAACATACTGCTGAAAACAAGAAAGAATCTTTTTAATGGTTTTCAGACAAAGAAACTTCTTACCTCAGTCTGGGCTCTTGAAGCTGTTGAGAAAGAGGCTAAGGGACACATGTGGAAAAGAGTAGAAATCATCATCAGGTGAATTAACCAGTTCAATGATGACGTTAGTGTATTAAGAAACAGGCTTTCAGAGAAGGTTTGACCTGAGCTGATTAAATCTCAAGGGAAGCAGCCACATAAAAAAGTTAGCATGGGAGCAAGAGGATGCTCATCCTCTGGTAGCCTTTATTGACATCTGAGGATTAAGAGAGAAAGGAAAGGAGTTCTAGAATATGCTACTACCTTCAGGAAAACACAATCTTTTAGTAAAACAAACTGCTTATTGTCCACCTTTTTTATTGGGTAAATTGTTTTTCTGAACTTTCATTGAATCTGTTTCTGTAAGAGTTTTTTTCTACCAAAAGAAAGCACCATTATAGTCTCCTACCAGCGATGTTGACAGTGCTCAGTTCCACATTGACTCTGTCTTTTATATTTTTGCCAATTTAGACAAGTGATACCTTATTTTAATTTGTATTTCCCTGGATATCTAGATCCCTGGACAGGTAATAGAGCATAGTGGTTAAGAAGAATTCTGGACTGTAGAGCTGTTCTGTGTTGGAATCCCAGCCCTACACTCTTGGTTGTCCCTGAGCAACTCATTTAACCTCAGCCTCAATTTCCTAATCTGTAAATGGGGTTAAAAATAGTACTTATCTCATAGGGTTGTTATGAAGATTGAATAAGTTGATAGCTGAAGCATTTAGAAAAGCACCTGATGCCTAGTAAACATTACATATTAGCTCTTATTATTGTTAGAGAAGTTGCAAAATCTTCTGTTTGGCAGTTCCTTTCCTGTGAATCGCTTGTTGATTTTGTTTTTTGCCCATTTTACTATTGAATTTTTTACTTATTGGTTTGTGTGTGTGTTTCAATATCATTTGTTCTGTATGTTGCAAATATTTTCCATCAATATATTGTTCATCTCCTTTTTAGTTGAACAAATTTTATTTATTTATCTATCAATTTGTTTGTTTATTTATTTATTTATTTATTTATTTATTTATTTTTAAGGATGTTATTTTGAGAGAGAGCATGAGCTTGAGGGAAGGCCAGAGGGAGAGGGACTTCATCCCAGGACTCTGAAGACAGATGCTTAACTGACTGAGTCACCCAGGCCCCCTGTTGAACAAATTTTAAATTATCATTTCAAATTCATCAGCATTTTCCATATGGTTTCTGCATTTTGTGTCTTAAAGATTTCTTTTTTTGAGAGAGAGAGAGAGCACATGGGCGTGCACATTCTCCACACACACGGAATCAGGTGGAGAGGCAGAGAGAGAGAGGGAGAGAATCTCAAGCAGACTGGCTGATGCGAAGCACAAGATGGAGCTCAGTACCACCTTGAGATCATGACCTTAGCCAAAATCAAGAGTCCCCGATGCTAGAGCAACTGAGCCACCCAGGTACTCCTATATTTTGTGTCTTAAGAAGACCTTCCTGACCTTGGGCAAGTCACTCAACTCTCTTTCCATCCATTTCTTTAATATTCAAATGGATAAAAATCATAGTATCTACTACATAGGTTTGCAATACAGATTAAAGAATTGTTATAACTAAATAAAACTAGACCTTCCTTATCCTAAAATTAAATATTCTATGTTTTCATTTCCACCTGAAATGTTTTTACACAAATGATATGTGGTAGAAATCTAACTTCTTGTGCTGTTTTAAAATGGTATTTGGGGCAGCCCTGGTGGCTTAGCGGTTTAGCACTGCCTTCAGCCCAGGGCGTGATCCTGGAGACTGGAGATCGAGTCCCACATCAGGCTCCTTGCATGGGGCCTGCTTCCCCCTCTGCCTGTGTCTCTGCCTCTCTCTCTCTCTCTCTCCCCCCCATCTCTAATAAATAAATAAAATCTTTTTAAAAATAAAATGGTATTTATTTTTTCTGTTACATACTCTAGCCACCCAGAAATTACCTTTAAAAATCTTATTTATTCATGAGAGACACACAGAGAGAGGCAGAGACACAGGCAGAGGGAGAAGCAGGCTCCATGCAGGGAGCCCGATGTGGGACTCGATCCCGAAACTCCGGGATCACGCACTGAGCCAAAGGCAGATGCTTAACCACTGAGCCACCCAGGCGTCCCACCTTTTTGATATTTTTTAATGTAGTCTTCTAGTGTAGCTAATGTAATGTATTTGCTTTTATAAAAATTGAATCATAAGCATTATTTCTTATTTTTTCCCTTAATAAGTTTACCATATTCATAATTTCCAAAGATAATTACTTTTCATTGCTTTCCATGACATAGATTTGTCACAGTCCTCTTACACAGTGTTCTAGTGTAGTCTCTATAATGCACTGTTTTGCCTATTTGCTCTTCCTCACCACAAATACAGTTGACGCTTGAACAAAACTGGTTTACATACAGGTCCACTGACAAGAATTTTTTCAGTAACTACAGTATAGAGTATTGTTTTACAGTATTGTAAATATGTTTTCTCTCATGATTTTCTTAATAACATTTTTCCTCCAACTTATTTTATTGTAAGAATATGGTACATAGGGCAGCCCGGTGGCTCAGCAGTTTAGCGCAGCCTTCAGCCCAGGGCGTGATCTTGGAGACCCAGAATGGAGTTCCCATGTCGGACTCCTTGCATGGGGCCTGCTT